CCAAGCAAATAATTTGATTAACTCAATTCAAGACCAAGTCAAAATTTAGTTTCATAATATTCCCGGCCCAAGCCACGCTACCACATATCTATTCAGAGAGAGCCCGGGTTTTATTTCAGTATTTGTTAGATATGCCCAACATTCTTTAGATAATTTTAGATCCACACATTGTCACAGTTGCCTCATTAGTTAGACCATTCTGATTGTAGTCAATGTACATTAATAGTTACTGAACATAGCTGGCTCAAAATCCAGCTGAGGGTAAATATACCGTTCTTTTGTAGTGGTTTTCTCCACCTTCCAGCCCGCGCGCTGGGATAAGTAACGGTATTTAAGAAGATAATTGAATGTAACTTTCCTTTTTCATGACGCATGATGGCAATAAGTTATACTTGTTGTGTAATTTGCAGTTAAAGTGGAGAAATGTCAAATTTCACATGCACCATTTGTATTTCTTGCGCATGAAAATGAGATTGCATTTGAGGCCTTCTGAGAGGTTTTAAAATACAAAATTCTGACTACTATATTTTTTTTAGTACAATTGTAATTTATTTTATTTATTTGATGTACATAATAAATTTGTAAAGCCGTATTATAGCTTCTACCAATTGAGATTATTTGTTCGTTATTTCTATTGATCACCATAATTAATCAATTATTTTATGAACCTACAGACATTTAGGCTTCAATATGTATCAGTACTGTCAACCCCTAAAGATTTTCTCGCGGGACAGATTTTTTAGACCAAGTGCCCAAAATTGCGGGATTTTGCGGGACATCTACTAAATTCGCAGGGATTTCGCGGGACATTTGAGGGATTTGCGTGATTGTGCTAATAGGCCAATTTTTTTTATCAAATTCGCGGGATTTCGCGGGACCATTCGAGGGACAAACACCCTTATTGCGGGACAGTTAACAGGGGTACCACCAAAAACTTCATAGAGGGACAGATTTTTTAGACAAAGTGCCCTAAATTTGCGGGATTTCGCGGGACATCCACCTAAATTTGCAGGATGTCCCGGGACATTCAAGGGATTTGCGTGATTGGGACTAATGTAAAAGCGTGTAAAAGTACTTAAATCAAACTTTCAGATACTGATTAATCAAATATAATGCACCGTTTATTGTAACTTAAATAAACTTCAACACAATTTCACAAAATACGCATAGGAATATTATTATACTTCATTGTAATTTATCAAAAACAAAAACCATGCTTCAGGTGTGGGTACCGTAATCTAACACGAAATTCAAAAATTCGGAACAATACTTTGCACTTCTGGCGTCGTGATCAACTATGAAACGCTTACCCCCATAATGTTATATATTAAAATGTACCTATTCATATACTGTAGGCATGGGCTTTCAATTGAAAGCCCATGATATAGGGGTTCGATTAATCTACATCAAATTATAGGAAATGAGGGGTAGATAGGGTTTGTAGAAAAAACCGGGTACTGGGTAGTAAATCTTCCATGCTGGGTTCAAACTTGGTACCCGGTCGAAAAAAACGGGTACCCAAAAAACGAAATATACGAATATACAACATAATTAGATCATTAGAAAACGTGTAAGTTTGTTTTGAATTATAAAAATGTATGTTACTTCCTTCAAAAATTGAGCTAGAAGCTTCAAATAAAAAGCATTTTAAGACTCTTTTCTTCCTCTATCATAATGGTCATATTTCCATTGGTAATGAAGGGGGGGGGGGTGCGATCGCACCCCCTCCTGGCTACGCCAATGACATTGTAAGACGATTTGAAAAACAAGACAAATCAATCTTACTCTATTTTCAATACTTCGTATGTTGGTACATGAATTGTTTTGATTATGATTTAAACCTGTAGATAGCTATCGTTGCTTTAGCAGAGAGGTGACGTGTGTTAATTTAAATGATGCAACGTGTAAGATTTTGATTATTAATCATAATTTAAGTTATCCCAATTTTCGACAAAATGTCCACTGAATTGTAAATTGTTATGTCTTACAATGTCATAGGCGTAGCCAGGAGAGGGTGCGATGGTGCGATCGCACCCCCCCCCCCCATAACCAATGAAAATATGGCCATGACGATAGAGGAAGAAAAGAGCCTTAAAATATGCTTTTTATTTGAAGCTTCTAGCTCAATTTTGAAGGATGTTACATACTTTTTTGTAAATTCAAAACAAATCTTACACGTTTTCTCATAATCTATTTACACGTCGCACGAAACTGGGGACAATTAGAGTAACATTATGGCGTCAAAATACCAAAACAATACAATGGCCAGTATAGGGCGCAATCAGCATTATAACGTCAAAAAACGACAAGCGTTACATTTTGTCAAGTTTAGTCAACCTAAAAATAAGATGCTTTATTCTTATTCAATCCTGGTGAAATTCACAGAGCAAGAAGATCTCGAGGACAATATTTCTAAAATGTTTTTGATTTTTAAAAAACGGTCAGGAAATCCACCCGGGGCGTCAGTAAAAATTGATATGTATGGGATTTGTGGTAAAAAATCGATGCGTTACATTTTTTCAAGTCTCTAAAAGCAACTCTTATTCTCTTATTATTTGAAAAATAAAGAAATCGGTTATTGTTTTGTAAATTTCGCCATGACAATATTGTGCAGTTAAATTTTTGGGGAAATCAGACCTAAATTAGAAGGTTAAATAAAGGTAAACTTATTGCTTGTCTCCCTCGCCTTCAAAACCTTACACAATTTTGAAAATCTTAAAAGCGTTCATATAAGACGATTTGAACTGTAGCCGCTAGGCAATTGTGACGTCATACAAGCACATGTTTCAATGAATAAAATGTGAAATTTTAGTAAAATTCTGATCAGTATTTCAAAAGTTATCCTGATTTCAACGAACCGTGTAAGCGTGAAATGTTACGCCTTACAGCGTATTTGACGATGTCGGAGTACATTTAACTTAAAAAATAGGGTAAATCCCATCACACTTTTCAAGGAAAAATAATTTCAGTGAAATGCGAATAAAAAATACTTCAAAATGATATATAATGCATATAGTTAGCTTTTTAAATAAGGCAGATATTAACGCTTAAAGCGGAGATTAGACCGTATTTCCCGAATTGTCCTCAGGTCCGTGCACGTCATAATTATGTTATATATTTGTATTTTTCGTTTTTTGGGTTCCCGTTTTTTTGACCGGGTACCGGGTACCAAGTTTGAACCCATCATGGAGGATTTACTACCCGGTACCTGTGTTTTTCTACAATCCCTTTCTAGATATCAGCGTTCATTTATTGTAACTCGCGTTTGCTAATATTTGCTCAGTTCTGAGATGAAGGCCACACGGGTAGTAAAAAGGCCAACGTTGGAACTATTTGTGACCTACATCCCTATTTTCGTAATTAAAATGAAAGTTGAACCTTTCCCCTTTATTTTGATACCAAACAACAGCATGCTAGGTACTTAAAATTAGGTAAACTTTACTCCTCAAAAGTGCAAAAACTTAGCTTCTTATAAAAGATACTTATCACAATATAGGGGATTGCAACAATTTCGGAAATTCGCGGAGGTCAAAGCCACATTTGCGGGACTTCGCGGGACATTGCGGGACACGCGAATTAGCATAATTTTTATCAAATTCGCGGGATAATCCCGCCATTCGCGGGACACTTGACAGCTCTGATGTATGTACATGTATATATATATTTATTAGAGTCTCACGCTTATATGTAAAATACCTGTACAATTACATTGAAGATAGTGAGTTCCATACATAAACAGATCAAAAATCTGTAAAATTCCGAGACTTAAAAGGGGTGTTCCTTACCAGACCATCTCTCTCCTAATATGGTAGCTATAACCATATACATACTTTGCAAGTTTATCAAAAAACAGAAAAATGTTTTGAAATGGTCAATATTGATCACTTAATGTAGTGCTCAATTCCAGTAGGCTGCCATCTTTTAAAATTTCACTCAGGAAGTGATGTCATCGACTCTCAACTTTGCATATAACATTAGGTGAGGAGCTATTAGAATTACTAAACCAGCTGAATATTTTTTTCAATTTGGTCTATGAATCCTTTTGATGATCTCTTCTTTAGTTCTAAGTTGACAACTCCTGAAAACATTTTTACACAGAAGATAAGGGCTTCTTGTTTAGAAGTGATTTTGTACTTCTTTCCTATACTGTAAGAGACAAGGTTATAACAGGTGAGAGTCGATGACATCACTTCCTGAAAGAAATCTGAAAAGATGGCAGCTTACTGGGAATGAGTACTACATTTTTAAATGATCAATATTGACCATAAGAAAACATTTTCCCATGTTTTGGTAAATATGTAAAGTATATATATGATTGTAGCTACCATATCAGGAGAGAAATAGTCTGGCAAGGAATGTTCCTTTAAGTACATCCAAATTCTCATACTTCTTTGAGTTTTGTCTGTTCTCAGTGAGCAAAAGATCATCACTATTTCTTACTTATTTTTACAAAAATTCTCATTTATATTTTGGGCGAGGATTAGTTTATTGAGTTTCTTAAAATTTTAATGGCTAAGACCTCGTATTTCGGCCCTCCCCACCTCAAAATTCAGGGAAAAAGAGGCTCTTTTGACACCAAAAACCTCAGAACCTCCTTATGTCTAGATTTACATATAGACCAAGTTAGTGACATGTTTTTGACACTTAGAATTTCACATATAAATAAAATTTTGATTTAAATCTGGTGTTTTTGTGATAAGATAGAGAGGCCTACTCTGCCATATAACCCAATGTCTAGGAATATACTAAAACCCTTTACAGATGCCAAACGCCGATCGCCGCCACAAAAATGGAGACCATAACAATATGTCACCACTTCTTGGTGGTTACATAAAAGCCAACCACCACCCATCGACCACAGTCACAAAACGTGGAGACCATAACAATATGACATCACTTTTAGGTGGTGACATAAAAACTTATATTTGTGAGAATGTAGATGGCCTACTTGCAATGTCTCTGAGGTGCTGAGTCTGCACTTGTGTCTGATGTTGTAGGGGTGCCAAACATGTAAGAATGGTCGCTGAAAATTAGAACCACAAACAAATAAAATATTAGTTAATAATATTAACAAAAGGAGTGGTATCGATATGGAGAACATTTTGAACACATGTTTCTCTTAAACCAGTTATAAAAAAAATCTAAAAATATAACACATCGTCAATTTAATTGTCATCTTTTGAATGGTAACAATATAATTTGAAAAATATATATATACCATCATCTATATTGTTTTAGGAAACACATCAGACACTTGTTTTGTTCTTGGTATCATGTTTCCAGGGTGAAATGAAACATCTTTCCGAACCTCATTGGAACAAAACAACATAAACACAACATGTTTAGGTCTCTCAATATTGTAATTGTACAAAGGAAATTTTGGTTGATTTTAAAAAAGTATCTTGTTTATGGTTTATCTTGATTTTTATCTATTTTGGGGGGATTTTGTTTTAATTTTTTTAATACTTTTTTAAAATCAACCAAAAATTCCTTTGTATAACTATAATATTGAGAGGTCTAAAAACATGTTGTATATGCTATTTTGTTCCAACAAGGTTTGGAAAGACATTTTATTTCACTCTCAAGAATTGGTAGAAAAAACAAAAAATGTTAACAAAAACAGTTATATAAAATATTTCTAAATAATTTTCACATAAAATTGTTGTCAATCAGTCAACATTACATAAAATACCATGTTTTTTTTACAGAATGTTTTCAATGATTGGTTTAAGAGAAAAACATTGTTGAATTCAGTTCTCCATATCGATACCACTCCTTTCACCATATTGTATGGCCTAATTGTTTTGATTCACCATATTGAATGATCAATATTTATTGAAATTCAATCATAAAAATTAAGAAATGCTTAAATTAAATGAGAAACAATGTTCAAGAATGCATGAGGAGAGATATCCATGAATGAACCATTTTCACATGAAAATTCACATCCCCAGACAGAGTCCTTGACACAGAATAGTCATTCAGATATCAAGAATTAGAGGACTGACTAGATGGGCAACGCAAATAACTTGTCTATATTCCAACGAAATGAACCAGCTAAACTTTATGCTCAACAAAGGACAATCCCTTCGTCCAATTTCCCTTGTCTCTATTTTTAACAATGTTGATTATATGTAAAAATTAACATATGTTGTATGATTTTCCAATTTAAGTTTATGTCATCTTATAAGGATTTCGAAAAACTACTCACGTTTGTTGAGAATTTTGCCCACTTGAACCTGAAAATTAAGTTAAGATGTAGTTAATCTTTGTCTATGATTCCTAGTCCTACACTATCAATAGATTTTGATATAAAACTTCTCTGCAAATATTAGTTTAAAACATGCAAAATGTCACAACCTGCCATTTGTTACAGATGCTGAACATAGAATGTCGAACACCAACTGCTGAACACCAACCACCATTCACAAAAAAGATGGAAATGATAACAATATGTCACCAGTACTGGTGGTTACATATACAGATCTTTAATCTGAAAATAGTGCAATTATTTCAATTACTTTTTATCATGTTGCTTTTCAAAAAATTAATATTAGAGAGGTTTCAATATAAATTTTTTGGAATAATACAGTATATGCAAACCTGTACTTGTAAAAGTCAGGTATAGCACTGAGGAGGAACTCAAATCACAACAAAATATTTGGCAAGTATGTAGTTTGTAAGTTCTGGTTTCAAAATATGATTACAACTTAGAAATTCATTCTGCCATTCACAAATCAATTCCCTCGATTAGGAAATGAGGAAAATATTTCTAATGAAATGTAATTTCCTGATTTCTTTGACAATCCTTCCTCCCCAGTGGTGCTTCCGTCATTTAAAAGTTTAAGTTGCAGTATAAGTTTGACTGAAAACTTGTATCGATACCTCTCTATTTACAGAAAAAGGTTTGTATATATGATGGCCATTTTGATTGTGAACATGTTTGAAAATGTAAGTGTGTCATTTAGACACAGACACATTAATGAGACACCCATCAATCAATATAGAAACCTTAATAATCTAAAAATAATCTCAACAAATCGCTCACCCCTCCATCCAAGATTTCTATTTACTAACCCTGACCCTGTGTAAGAGCGAAGGAACATATAAGCACGTATTCCACTTCAAAGGTGGCTACAACACCATATAATGCCCGGGTCACATTTGCTCCGATCCATCGGCCAGCGCCTGGCGGATTGAGTGTTTTGCTCAATATTGTATTCAATTTTGAAGAAAATACTCAATCGGCCAGGCGCCAGCCGATGGATCGAAGCAAATGTGACCCGGCCATTAATGAAGTTGAAGCAAATTAAACCTTGTGAATCAAGATAACATAGGCATGCAAAGTTACACTACCTAGAACTCAAATATATAGAATATTACATAATCTTGCCTAAAGCACCCGTGAGCCCCTTCCCCTCATTCTACACACTCCACCAGGCTCCATCCTGGGTAAAGTATAGATAGGGGGGATCCAGACTCAAACCTTGATAAATGGCAAATAATATAAAGATCCAGATTAAAGCCATTCATTTGAATTAAAACCATGGGAAAATTCACAATGTTACATGTATAAACGTAATTAAACAAAATTTTAATTAAGCTAAATTAATATTTTGTCTTAATTACTTAAAGTCATGGAGTGGTAAGGGCTTGGTATTAAGCCTAGGGTACAATTACTTTGGATATAAAAGTTTGAAACTTGACTGAGAATTTATTCACTTCATCAAGTCTAATTTGATACAAGGTAAGTTACAAATAATTTTTTTTTTCATTGTTTTATTTCAATATTGCTCAGTTTTAGGCAAATTTGTTTGATGAATACATAATTTTAATACATAAAATAACTTTAGATGGAATATTTTACTAAATATTGGTCAAATCAGAATTATTTTTCATATTCTCATGTTTAATTATTCTATCTCATATAAATTTTTCATGAAATAAAATCAGTTAAAATATTCCACCAACTGTTCAGATTTTTGTTGCATTTTTGAAAATTAGTTTAATATTGTTCATTGAATCCAGCTTTTTTCAACATTTTCTAGAATTTTTCTTTTCCCTGAGAATACACAAGTCGATAACTTTTGTAAAACTTTAATTGTGATAAATGATAAATCAGGGATTATGTATCTACATGTATATTAATAATTTACAAGAGGCGATCAAGCCTTTATAATGCCTTAAATAAAACTTGTGTATGTACAAAACACTCTCAATATTGTTCCTTGAAGACAGCACAGGTGTTCCATATATGGAGATGTAAGTCAATGGGACTTCGTTATTTTGAAATCTGTTCCATTTGGGAAGGTGTTCGAAAATTGAAAAGATGTTTTTTGACCCCTATGTCACACAATTGGTTATATTTCTATATGTGGTTGTTGAAAATGGTGCTATCATATATCATTTTGTTGCAAAATAAATTATCTTTAATATGATATATCATTGTTGGTGAGATTGTTAAAAAATAAATATTTATCAGGAATAATGGCTAGGGGGGTGGTTTTTTGGCCCACCCTGTAGAGGGGTGCTCTATTGACTCTATCAGACATGTTTTTATGAAAATGTTATGTGGAAATGGAAACATACATAACAGCATTTTATTTCAGAATCTCTCTCAAAATGCTTAAGTTTGTGTGCCTCTTCGCCCTTGTGGCCGTTGCCTGTGCCGCTCCCCGTAGCTATGGATACGGAGATGATGAGAACCGTGATGGCGTCCCAGATTCCCTTGATGCCAACCGTGATGGCAAAGTAGACTACGGATATGGATATCCCAGATATGGCTATGGATACAAAAGCTATGGATACCAGCCCTATGGTTACGAATACGTTCCATATGGAGATGGATACCCATATGCCAATGTTGGACCCAACGGAGCTGTTGTCAAGTCCCCATCAGGTCTGATTGTTGGAGACAATGGTGGTTACATCAATGCCCAGACTGGAAAGGTTGTTGGACCCGATGGATACGTTGTCCCCGAGGGATACGGATATGGATATTAAAGTGAGTGTTATACATTTCTAATTTATCAAATTTTTACCAAAACTACCAATGTCAGTGGGTGTAGCTGGGGTACTAAGGCAGATGCCTTACCAAAATTACAAAATAAAATTTCAATAATATGGGTTAATTTGAGGAAATCAAACCATCTTATAGTATTACCCAGCCGATGAATACATTTGGATACTAAAATTTCAATATATTTTCAGAGAGAAAAAAACACAGAAATATTTTTGCTAAACTGTAAAAAATCATATTCTATAGTGGATCCTCTATTTGGATTTAGATTTAGCCTCACCTACAAATGTTTGCCTCGCCAACTTTTGAATTAGCATTCCTGATGTAACAATATGCCACCGCTTTTTCTTTTAAAATATTCAATAACTAAATAAAATTTATGTTCTAAAGACAAACAGACTGCATAACTTATTCTCTATGAAACTTGAAAAAAATGCTCAGAGAATAAGTCATAAAATCTGTTCTTGTAACACAAAAACTGGACAGCGAACATGCACAAATTCATATTTCATATTTCTTTTTCAGTAGTTTGGTGACAATATAGCTTAAGAGGTCAAAATAGAGGATTCTTCAACTACATTCATACGTATCATAGGAATCATTCTTATAATGTAAATTATTTTTGGAATAAAAAATTAAAAATATATATTTTGTGTGGTGTTACATGATTCATTAATTAAATTAATTTAACAGCCTGTTTTTTGTTTTGAGAATAGATCAAAAAGTTAGAATATGTGTATCCTACTTTTTTAGAATTAGATTTGAACAAAATTTTTGCCCAGCATTTTCAATTTTCACAACTCACACCAATATTCAAGCATGTTCCAGTTTCCCCCTTTGGCATGCCATTCCCATTCCCAGTCCATTATAAGTCATGTAGTGAAGTGAAGTTGAATGACTGAACACAACATTTGGGACACTATGTATTTGTTCTAATTGGATTAAACAACATTTGGGACACCATGTATTTATTCTAATTGTATTAGACAACATTTGGGACACCATGTATTTATTCTAGACAACATTTGGGACACCATGTATTTATTCTAATTCTATTAGACAACATTTGGGACACCATGTATTTATTCTAATTCTATTAGACAACATTTGAGACACCATGTATTTATTCTAATTGTATTAGACAACATTTGGGACACCATGTATTTATTCTAATTGGATTAAACACTAATTACCTGTTGTATTCTTATCATCTGAAGTATTCTCCAGGAATGTGATGTCTTCATCCTTAAAAATATAAAATCATGTATTAACTCAATTAAACTATAAAGTATGACATAATGTATTGTTCAACATTTCAAAATGTCAGGACATGCTGTGTTTAACATTTGAACAAACATATTCTACATCCCAAAACATATTGTTTTTAACATTTCTACATACACATACTTGCTATGTTCGTTTCCGTTTGTTTACTTGATTAAGAAAATGCTATGTTTAATACATGACATACAAACACAGGATATGTTCAACATTATAACATCTCAAATCAAGCTGTATTCAACATTTTGATATATGAAAAAAAAATGTATTCAACATTTCTACATACCAAAACATGCTGTTCAACATTTCAACGTACCAAAACATGCAGTTTAACATTTCTGCATACCAAATCATGCTGCATTCAACATTTCAAAATATAAAAACACAATGAATTCAACATTTCTACATACCAAAACATGATCTGTTCAACATTTCTACATACCAAAACATGCTGTGTCACGCATATCTACATACCAAAACATGTTATATTCAACATTTCTACATACCAAAACATGCTGTTCAACATTTCTACATACCAAAACAAGCTGTGTTCAACATATCTACATAACAAAACATGTTGTGTTCAACATTTCTACATACCAAAACATGCTGTTCAACATTTCTACATACCAAAACATGCTGTGTTCCACTATCACTTGGCCTGATAAGTTGGTAAAGGTGTAGATTTCTCTCAGATAACAGATTGTGGAGAGCAGATTGGAAGGCCTCAATCTCACCATTGATCTTCTCCCGAAGCACAGCATCTGAAATCAGAAGTACAGCACCTAAAATTAGAAGTACAGCATCTAAAATTAGAAGTACAGCATCTAAAATCAGAAGTACAGCATCTAAAATTAGAAGTACAGCATCTAAAATTAGAAGTACAACATCTTAAATTAGAAGTACAGCATCTAAAGTTAGAAGTACAGTGTCTAAATTTAGAAGTACAGTATCTAAAATTAGAAGTACAGCGTCTAAATTTAGAAGTACAGTATCTACAATTAGAAGTACAGCATTTGAAATCAGAAGTGCAGCACCTAAAATTAGAAGTTCAGCATCTAAAATTAGAAGTACAGCATCAAAAATTAGAAGTACACCATCTAAAGTTAGAAGTACAGCATCTAAAATTAGAAGAACAGCATCTAAAGTTAGAAGTACAGCATCCAAAGTTAGAAGTACAGCGTCTAAAACTAGAAGCACAACATCTAAAATTAGAAGTACAGCATCTAAAATTAGAAGCGCAGCATCTACAATTAGAAGTACAGTATCTAACATAAGAAGCACAGCATCTAAAATTAGAAGTACAGCATCTAAAATCAGAAGTACAGCATCTAAAGTTAGAAGTACAGCATCTAAAATTAGAAGCGCAGCATCTACAATTAGAGGTACAGCATCTAAAATCAGAAGTACAGCATCTAAAATTAGAAGTACAGCATCTAAAATTAGAAGTACAGCATCTAAAATCAGAAGTACAGCATCTAAAATCAGAAGTACAGCATCTAAAATTAGAAGTACAGCATCTAAAGTTAGAAGTACAGTATCTAAAATCAGAAGTACAGCATCTAAAGTTAGAAGTACAGCATCTAAAATTAGAAGTACAGCATCTACAATTAGAGGTACAGCATCTAAAATCAGAAGTACAGCATCTAAAATTAGAAGTACAGCATCTAAAATTAGAAGTACAGCATCTAAAATCAGAAGTACAGCATCTAAAATCAGAAGTACAGCATCTAAAATTAGAAGTACAGCATCTAAAGTTAGAAGTACAGCATCTAAAATTCGAAGCACAGAATCTGAAATTAGAAGCACAGCATCTAAAATTAGAAGTACAGCATCTAAAATCAGAAGTACAGCATCTAAAATTAGAAGTACAGCATCTAAAGTTAGAAGTACAGCATCTAAAATTAGAAGCGCAGCATCTACAATTAGAGGTACAGCATCTAAAATCAGAAGTACAGCATCTAAAATTCGAAGCACAGAATCTGAAATTAGAAGTACAGCATCTAAAATCAGAAGTACAGCATCTTAAATTAGAAGTACAGCATCTAAAGTTAGAAGTACAGCATCTAAAATTAGAAGCGCAGCATCTACAATTAGAAGTGCAGCATCTAAAATTAGAAGTACAGCATCTCAAATTAGAAGTACAGCATCCTAAATTAGAAGCACAGCATCTAAAATAAGAACTAAAGCATCTAAAATTAAAAGTACAGCATCTAAAATAAGAAGTACAGCATCTAAAATTAGAAGTACAGCATCTAAAATTCGAAGCACAGAATCTGAAATTAGAAGCACAGCATCTAAAATTAGAAGTACAGCATCTAAAATCAGAAGTACAGCATCTAAAATTAGAAGAACAGCATCTAAAATTAGAAGCGCAGAATCTAAAATTAGAAGCACAGCATCTAAAATAAGAACTAAAGCATCTAAAATTAAAAGTACAGCATCTAAAATAAGAAGTACAGCATCTAAAATTAGAAGTACTGCATCTAAAATTGTCACAGTTGTCTTAAAGCATTTATCATGTTTGTTTCTTTTTACCATATTTCTATCTTAATGTAATGTCTGATGTTCACTTTTGTAATACAGAAACATAGAAGCACTTCACACATTTTGATATATACATGTACAATGTACATGTATATAGCATAAACTAATAAAAGGTATCAAAATGCAAAATGTCACAACCTACCATTTGTTGCAGACACTGAACTCTGAATGCTGAATCCGCACACTAAACATCCTTCACAAAAAGTTGGAAATTATAACAACATGTCAATACAATACTTGTGGTAGTTGTGATTTATAACAAAAGTCAAAGGTAGAGCCATTTTAGTGTGATATTGAGACTGATATATTCTATTACTCTGGGAATACAAGTGGTTAGAGTTATTACAAGAAAACTGTTACAGAATTCAGTATAAAATATTTGAAGGTTATTTAGGACGAGAATTACAGCTATTAGCCCTTTCTTTGCAATTACAATCAAACATCTGGGACTTTCATGACAATGGTGAATGGTTAACAATGCCCTGGCCAAACGAGGATTGGTACATGTAGCTCCTTCATTCAAACTTAATCTTCCATTGCCTGGCATGAAACAATACGGTAACAATTTTTCCCAGATGCTGAAGACTAGCATTGCCAAAAAGTACAGTTTAGTTTGAATATTAGCATGATAGTTGTACACTTTATAATGTATATAGACTAGATACTTGGTCCCAAGATGTACTTGGAAGAAATGTTTAAAAAATATTATAATATAAAATAACATGTTACTAAATTGTTCAAAGCCAGGCAAGCAAGTTTGAAAAATGACTACCAATCCTCCTTTACCCTGACCCAGCAAGATAATTGATTGAAAACGTTTTCAACAAGTGCAGTCAAGTGATTTTAATAAATGGCACTTTTGTCTGCCCATTTATTAATTAGGCACACAAGCAGTCACGTTTATTTTACAAAAATAATATTTTCATATACCCCTTGCTCATAATCAAAATTTGATATTTATTCAAAATTAGGTCATTAAGGTAGATCTGTCCGACTTGAATTTTTTTACAATTTTCATGATTTTGCAGTAGTTACCAATGATTGATGAAATGGTTTATGATTCACATTTTTGTTAATACAGTAGTTACCAATGATTAATGAAATGGTTTATGATTCACATTTTTGTTTATACAGTAGTTACCAATGATTAATGAAATGGTTTATGATTCACATTTTTGTTTATAAAGTAGTTACCAATGATTAATGAAATGGTTTATGATTTTATATTTTGATCTATACAGTAGTTACCAATGATTAATGAAATGGTTTATGATTCACATTTTGATTTATAAAGTAGTTACCAATGATTAATGAAATGGTTTATGATTTTATATTTTGATCTATACAGTAGTGACCAATGATTAATGAAATGGTTTATGATTCACATTTTGATTTATAAAGTAGTTACCAATGATTAATGAAATGGTTTATGATTTTATATTTTGATCTATACAGTAGTTACCAATGATTAATGAAATGGTTTATGATTCACATTTTTGTTTATACAGTAGTTACCAAAGATTCATTAAATGGTTTATGATTCATATTTCGATTTATGAAGTAGTTACCAATGATTAATAAAATGGTTTATGATTACCAATGATTAATGAAATGGTTTATGATTCACATTTTGATTTATAAAGTAGTTACCAATGATTAATGAAATGGTTTATGATACATATTTTGATTTATAAAGTAGTTACCAATGATTAATGAAATGGTTTATGATTCACATTTTGATTTACAAAGTAGTTACCAATGATTAATGAAATGGTTTCTGTTTCATATTTTGATTTATAAAGTAGTTACCAATAATTAATGAAATGGTTTATGATTCACATTTTGATTTATAAAGTAGTTACCAATGATTAATGAAATGGTTTCTGTTTCATATTTTGATTTATAAAGTAGTTACCAATAATTAATGAAATAGTTTATGATTCACATTTTGATTTATAAAGTAGTTACCAATGATTAATGAAATGGTTTATGATTCACATTTTGATTTATAAAGTAGTTACCAATGATTAATGAAATGGTTTCTGTTTCATGTTTTGATTTATACAGTAGTTACCAATGATTAATGAAATGGTTTATGATTCATTTTTGATTCATAAAGTAGTTACCAAAGATTAATAAAATGGTTAATGATTCACTTTCTTATTTACAAATTATGCTCAGTGTTTTCCATTCATTGTATTCCAAGATTTACATGTACCTCACACTGGGGTAGGCTGTTCCAAAATTCAGGAAGGTAGTTCTGACAGTCATATTCAAAAAGTAAAAATGGTATAAGCTCAATTCTTTTTGTTGAAAAAAGCTTGTGATAGCGTGGTATGTACATGCACTACCTTAATGCACCTTAATTATAGTGCAATGTCTTATTGACCTCAGCTCCTTAGTGCCAAATGTTCTTCCCAAGCACTCCCTTCAAGTTGAAGGCAATTTATTAGCATATACTATATAACAGCATATGTTGCTAGAGAATCAGAATAGTTACTAAGGTTTAGTATTCAACATTGCACATTTGTTCATAATTTTTTTATTTATATTTACACAATTAAGTATGATTACATAAATGTATTACTTGTTTGTTCATACTATTTTCATTAATTGGATGAAGTTATAACTGGTTGAAATGCGATCAAAAAGTATTATTGATTTGTACATCTTTTATGTATGATTGCTTAAAGTTATTTTTTATTTCTTGTTTTATAAATTCACTCAATATAATAATAATTTTTAATACCAAAACATTTTTATTTTTTGAACACCAGAGCATTTACTTTTTCTAAATACCAAAACATTTTTATTTTTGAACTCTAGCATTTTTATTTTTTAAAGTCAAGAACATTTTTTTTTTGAATAAGCATTTTTCATTTTTGAACACCAGAGCATTATCATTTTTTGAATACACAATTTTCATTTTTGAATACCAGAGCACTTTTTCATTTTATAAATATGCATTTTTCATTTTTGAATACCAGAGCATTTTTTCATTTTTTGAATATGCATTTTTCATTTTTTGAAAACCAGAACATTTTTTATTTTTTTTGAATAAGCATTTTTCATTTTTTGATTACCAAAACATTTTTCATTTTTTGAACACAATAATTTTCATTTTTGAATACCAGAACATTTTTAATTTTTTGAATAAGCATTTTTCATTTTTTGAATACCAGAGCATTTATTTATTGAAAAGCAAGAGCCATTTCAG